GATGTGTTGATGGTGATGATGAAGTTACCGACGTAGGGCTTCGCCTAAGCACTACGACAATATGACCGAGGTGGAAATCTATGGAGGGGGCACCGCACACAGCTAAGAAATCAACTTGTGTGTCTATGGGGTGCTCCCCTCCCTCATATATAAAGGAGGGGAGGAGGGCGTCGGGCGGCCTCAAGGGGCACGCCCCAAGGGGGGAATCCTACTCCTACTAGGAGTAGGTTCCCCCCTTTCCTAGTCCAACAAGGAGGGGAAGGAAAGAGGAAGGGGAGAGAAGGAAGGAGGGGGCGCCGTCCCCACCCCTCGTCCAATTTGGACTAGGGGGCGCCACCTCCTGGCCGACCCTCTCTCCTCTAAGGCCCATGGTGGCCCATTATCTTCTGGGGGGATCCGGTAACCCTCTGGCACTCCAATTTTATCCGAAACCACCCGAAACACTTCCGGTGTCCGAATAACACAGTCCAATATATCAATCTTTATGTCTCGACCATTTCGAGACTCCTCATCATATCTGTGATCTCATCTGGGACTCCAAACAACCTTCGTTACATCAAATCACATAAACTCATAATACCAATTGTCATCGAACGTTAAGCGTGCGGACCCTACGGGGTCGAGAACTATGTAGACATGACCGAGACACTTCTCCGGTCAATAACCAATAGCGAAACCTGGATGCTCATATTGGTTCCTACATATTCTATGAAGATCTTTATCGTTCAAACCACACAACAACGTACGTTGTTCCCTTTGCCATTATTATGTTACTTGCCCGAGATTCGATCGTATCATCATACCTAGTTCAATCTCGTTACCGGCAAGTCTCTTTACTCGTTCCGTAATGCATCATTCCGTAACTAACTCATTAGTCACATTGCTTGCAAGGCTTAAAGTGATGTGCATTACCGAGAGGGTCCAAAGATACCTCTTCGACAATCGGAGTGACAAATCCTAATCTCGATCTATGCCAACTCAACAAACACCATCGAAGACACCTGTAGAGCATCTTTATAATCACCCAGTTACGTTGTGATGTTTGATAGCACACTAAGTGTTCCTCCAGTATTCGGGAGTTGCATAATCCCATAGTCATAGGAACATGTATAAGTTATGGAGAAAGCAATAGCAATAAACTAAACGATCATAGTGCTAAGCTAACGGATGGGTCTTGTCCATCACATTATTCTCTAATGATGTGACCCCGTTTATCAAATGACAACACATGTCTATGATTATGAAACTTAACCATCTTTAATAAACAAGCTAGCCTAGTAGAGGCATACTAGGGACACTCTGTTTGTCTATGTATTCACACATGTACTAAGTTTCCGGTTAATACAATTCTAGCATGAATAATAAACATCTATCATGATATAAGGAAATATAAATAACAACTTTATTATTGCCTCTAGGGCATATTTCCTTCACTACGTGTGTGCACCTATTATGGACCACCTTAGTCTGCGCCTGGCGAGGCTATCCTGCATGACTCAACGGGCCATAATCTTTAAAAAGGTATATTTAGGGACAATTTCACTAAATCAAATAGTTAGGGGGAATTTTTAACTAAATGGGTAATTGGTGTCACAAATGTGTAATTAGGGGGTTAAAAGTTGAAAATATGTTTTGGATCTTGGGCTTCATGGACCCTGTTATTTTTGAAAACTTGGAAATAAAATTCATATTTTCAAAAAAAAATGTAAGAATAAAATTCTAGATATACATAGACCTTCTACGCATGTGCAAAATTTCTCGCATGTCCGCTTCGTCTCCGGTGACCTTAGGGACATGGCGGCGTGGTGGATCCCGACCCTTGCCGGCGGGAGGGCTCTATTTTTAGATGTTCCTTTGAGTTTTCTTAGGGTTTGTGTTCTGCTGAGAAAGACGAGACGGCGGCGGCTTCTTGAAGATGGAATAAGGTTCTCCCCTCCTAGCCATCATCCCGATGGTGTGTCTAGCATTGTCGGTGGGCGTATGGAGGTGTGTCTCCGATGGATCTGTCCTTAGTGGATTTGCTCAGGTCTGGTTGTAGTACGTCTGTGTTCGTGTGTCTTTAGGTTGGGTCCTTCTGGTCTACGCTACTCTTCATCGGCGGCGTTTAATATTCTGCTGCGCTGGTCCTATGGAGTCTTAACACGATGACTTTCCGACTGTCTGCTACAATAAGTCTTGCCCGGTTCCGGCCAGGGAGGGGCGATGACAGCGGCACGCCTTTGAATCGCTTCAGTTCTTGTAGTCGTCGCTGGGTAGTCTACAGATCTGGATGTTATTTATTTTCTTTTTTTTCGAAACCGAGGCAGAAGATTTGCCTCATATATTAATTAAGGGAGAATAGAGTTTGAAAAACACCTCACAACTGAAATACACCTCAGAACTGAAAAACAAAAAGTGTTACTCTCCCGGTATGATGGTGCCCAATTTTTTTGCCCCGGCGGTTAGCAGAGGATGGCCTCACACTTGACGTTGTTAAGCAATGTTGTTGGAGGCATACTCTTTTGTCGAAATACCCGGGTGTTCCTTTCATTCCAAATGGTGCATCCAATTAGCATGGTGAGGGAGGCCATGGCTTTTTGGTTGGGGTGCTCTTGCTTGATCTATTCACCCACCAATCCTTTATAGAGTCCTCAAGGTGCCAAGTAGATGTGTCAAGGTCTTCAAGATGTAGTCACTCATTAACCAAATTCCATAGGCGGAGGGTGAGACGACATTTGACGAAGAGGTGTAACATGGATTCTTGTTGTCTTCTGCATAGGGGGCAAAGATGACAGTTTGGCCATCCATGACGCGCCAACCTATCAGTTGTCCAGATTCTATCTTGTATTGCATGTCTTGTATTGCGAGCCAAGCAAAAAATTTCACCTTCAGCGGTGCCCAAGCGGTCCAAACCATGTGATCCATAGGGGAGTAGAAGGTTCCCAGGAATTGCGCGAGGTAAGCTGTTGCCGCCGAGTATCGACCATCTGTGGCGTGCTTCCAAGTAATCTCATCTTCCATGTGCTCCTCGAGCGGGAACTCCGAGATAAGTAGCCAGAGTTCAGCAAATTGACGAATGTGGGTCATCCAAAAGTTGGCGGTCATCTTAATTTTCTTGATCCAAGCTCCCTCCTTGAGAGCTTCCCTCACCTCTCAATTTTTTTCTTGTGGAAGCCTCATGGATGAGAGGCGCAATGTCTTTAGGCTTCTTGCCGTGCACCCAAGGCGCTTCCCAGAAAGGAGTCTTGGCACCGTTCCCAATGGTGATAGTAGTGGAGGCATAGAAAAAATTCCTATCCTCGTCATCACAAGGGTTGCCCATGCCGACCCACATCTTAGACGGCTCCGTCCATTTGAACTATAGCCAACATAGTCGAAGGACGTGTGCCGTCTTTAGCACGCCGAGGTTGTAATACCATGATTGAAGATGAATAGATCGGAAGTTTTCTCGCAAAAAAAAAGAGTTTCACTTTTCTTTCTTTTAAATTTCGGGCTTCATGTATCAAAATTTATTAGGAAAATAAACTTGGATATATTTTCATGTAGTTCCGCTACTTCTCTCGAGGTTTCATTCATGGAGCCTGTTGCATAACTTGTTGATTGTGTTTCCTCCTCCTTTTGGCGTCAAAAGATCCTAGAAAGGGCATCACCATTCGTGACTGTGACCAGGTGTGGTTAATAACGTTGTTTTCAACACGGGCATCATCTCTCTTAGGCACGAGTTGTACCCCGCGTGTAAAAGACCTCGTGATGGTGTTTTGGTTCTTCCTAACACTCTCATCACCAGGGTATCTAGATATTTCCCAAACTGTAAACCACGCGATAACAACTTGGTCTAGTTTCATAGTTGTAATCTTAATGTTACTGCAAGAGCATCAAATAATGGCGTGGAACTTACCCCGCCTCAGACCAATTGTCCTGCCACCGTGGTTCACAGCCTTTCATCATCAGCGACAGAAATCACCATCATGACTCTGAAAAGGCAGCCTAGTCGGTAAGAAGAGGGCGTATTGCCTTCTAAAATATGTATTGCACCTAGAGTAAGTGCAACGTATATTTTCAGTGTTTACAAATTAGCCACTTGTTAGAGTTAATTAACTCAACTGAATGCAAGAAAGATCATGGAAAAACATGTGAGATCAAGCTCAGTTTATCTTCCTTGTTTTGTGAGGAGATTCAACCATGCACTGCCTTCCGCGGACAGCGTCGGCTTCGCTTTCACTTCAATGTCGATCACAGATTAACATCAGCGAGACACGGTCCTATTATCTCTTGTGAAGACCTTTTCCTTAACCCTGCTCTAATTAAGGCATGCCTTGTCAGCATAGTCCAAAATATAATCTACTCTATATAACTGAAAGAACATTCTCTCCAGTGCAAAAGTGGGTGATAAAGAAGGTCAATCATGGGAATCATTAGTTTAATCCCCACCAAATTTCCCTCTTTACGTGCCTTGAATCGCACCCCTAATCATCATCACTAAACTCCTTTAAACCGCATGAATAAAAACAGACTTTTGGAGCAGCAGCATGAGCATGACATGAAAGACCAGCACACTAGTGCACTCGTACCGACTGAACTCAAGATTGAGGTGGGGAGGAGTTGCCGTAGAGCAAGGGACACGTTCGCGCGGCCGTATCCTCCGCCCTTTTGACCGCTCGCTCGGTGGCTTCGGCGGACAGCGAGACGTACGGGGACGACCGGTATCGGCGTGCTCAGCTACAGCCAGCCACCGAGGGAGACAGTGGGAGCTTGAGGCTTGGCTTGCTTTCAAGTCAAGTCGTTGGCATTTGGCACCACCTCTCCCGCCTGTATCTTTCTCTCCAGAGCTCGCAGGATCCTATCATTTTAGCTTGGTGAATGCACGTCCCATCATGAGCCGCATCATGGGCTGCGGTTGTGGTGCCGGTGGTTGCCTTGCGCTCCACAGCTTTTGCTGAGCACCTAAAACCGCACCTCGCCCCCCTGCGAGCCCGATCGGCTCACTTCTTGCGTCCGTCCGTGCGTGCGTGCGTGCGTGCATGGAGGAAGCTGGTGGGTGTGCGAGGATGGGTCTGAGAGGGGTGCTGCTCGCTCTGGCCTTGCTGCTCTCGGTGTGCGTGCGAGCAAGCCATGGACTCACGGACAGCCAGGACAGTGAGTACCCTGCCTCATCCATTCTTGCTTAGTTTCACAACTAGTACAATTCATCGATGATGAGACAAGAATTTTGAGCTCTTCTCCTCTTTCTTTACCCAAGTAGTATAACTCACGTGTGCTAACTCTACTACCTTGAGTCGATCGCAGCTTCTGTTCTCCGAGCGCTAATGGATCAGTGGCAGAACTCGCCGCCGACATGGGGACAGTCTGATGATCCCTGCGGTGTTTCGCCATGGGATGGGGTGACATGCAGCAACAACAGGGTGATCTCCATGTAAGTGTCGGCAAAGCTCGACAAGAATTTCACTGCAACTTCCGCCAAAGTGCCAGGTCAACAAAACTTACCATTATTATACAACCGTGTCTTTCAGAAAAGTGTCAACCATGGGCATCAAAGGACTTCTAGCTGCTGACATCGGGCAGCTGACCGAGCTGCAATCCCTGTATGTAGCGGCAGAGCACTAGAGTGTCAAGCTAAACCTTTTCTTCAACATAATCCCTCTTCTTGCAGCTCTGCTTGCATTACTGAGCCATGACATGAGCAATTCTATGTGTATGCAGGGACCTGTCATTCAACAAAGACCTTGGAGGTGTGCTCACTCCGACCATCGGTAATTTGAAGCAGCTTGCAACCTTGTAAGTTTCTAAACGTGCACGGCCTTCTTGTTTTCGGTTAGGTTATGTCACTATGCTCATGTCTTGTACTTTGTGCCGCATGGTTTGAAGGATTCTGGCAGGTTGCAGCTTTCACGGCAACATCCCTGATGAGCTAGGGAGTCTTCCCAACCTATCTTACATGTAAGAGATTCACTGGTGCCCCACAGATGATACTGCACATTTGTGCCACTGTGATTCAGTTTTTGCAGGAAAAAAATGACATTGATCAAACTCTATTTCAGGGCTCTGAACTCGAATCAGTTCTCTGGAAAAATACCAGCATCTCTGGGCAATCTCTCCAGCCTCTATTGGTTTGATGTCGCCGACAATCAGCTGACTAGCCCATTGCCAATCTCATCAAACGGGGGAATGGGTCTAGACAAGCTTACAAAAACCAAACACTTGTAGGTTATACAAGTTGTTTTTTTTTTGGGGTATTGTCATTTCTGAAGCAGAGATGAGAAGTGGAACATATCTCTAACCGTACTGTTTCTGGTGATCTGTAGCCACTTCAATAAGAACCAATTGTCTGGTCCCATCCCAGATGCTCTCTTCAGCCCTGAGATGACACTGATTCATCTGTGAGTTCCCGAAGCCCTCTCTGCCTATAGATTCATCTTTCTCCTGCTTCGCGACATGTGTGCTGACACCTCAAGATATTCGGTGCAGGCTTTTCGATGGAAATAAATTCACCGGTGACATCCCGGACTCTCTTGGGTTTGTTAGTACACTCGAAGTTGTGTAAGTGTCCTTGTCAGACGAAACTCTGCCCAATTCATCTTATTTTGTTGGATGGTCTGCCAGATATGAATCTTCTATATGTTTGTTTGGACAGACGGCTGGATAGAAATTCCCTCTCCGGCCCAGTTCCAGCGAACCTGAATAACCTCACCAAAGTAAACGAGCTGTAAGTTGTCTACGATGCACTGTGTAAGTAAGTGCAAGTACAAAGCTATAGCCATTGTAAGCACATTATCTTCATATATGTTTCAGCAACTTAGCCAACAACCAGCTTAACGGACCGTTGCCCAATCTATCTGGGATGACTCTTCTCAATTATGTGTAAGCACTAAGCAATTTACACCGCAGAAGATTTCTGCTGCTAATTTGTTCGAACCACCAGGCTTGATCTGATAGTAATTCATCTGGTCTAATTGCACCGCAGCGATCTGAGCAACAACACATTTGATCCTTCCCCGAGCCCGCAGTGGTTTTGGAAGTTGCCACAGCTCTCAGCTCTGTAAGTTCCCCTGAAATAACTTTGCAACTTCACAGTATATATGCTTGGATGGCTAAATCTGACAGTGTCTTGTGATGCCAAACCAAGGGTCATACAATCCGGAAGACTCTACGGCACGGTGCCGATGAAGCTGTTCAGCAGCCCGCAGCTGCAGCAAGTGTAAATTCGCGCAAAAACCTTGTCTGCATTTTTTTTTGCACCAAAAAATGGTGAAACTGGTGGGTCTTTGTGGCGAATCTGACAAGGCCTCTTTGCAGGATCTTGGACGGCAACGCGTTCAATGGCACCCTCGACCTGGGGAGGAGCATCAGCAGCGAGCTGAGCATGGTGAGCTTCAAGGACAACGACTTCTCCTCCGTCACGGTGACCTCCAGCTACAACGGCACGCTCGCGTGAGTACCAAGATAGCAGTGGCCAATTCCGGTTTCCAGACAGTGGCAGTGCTGCCATCTTACTTACAAACTCCTGCCACGGCATGGCATCGTTCAGGCTGGCCGGGAACCCGGTGTGCGACCACCTGCCGAACACGGCGTACTGCAACGTGACGCAGCACGCGCCTTCGCCGGCGTACACGACGAGTCTGGTGAAGTGCTTCTCGGGGGCGTGCCCGCCGGAGCAGAGCATGAGCCCGCAGAGCTGCGGGTGCGCGTACCCGTACCAGGGGGTGATGTACTTCCGCGCGCCCTTCTTCGCGGACGTGGGCAACGGCACTGCGTTCCAGGAGCTGGAGAGCAAGCTGTGGACCAAGCTGGAGCTCTCCCCGGGCTCCGTGGCCCTGCAGGACCCCTTCTTCAACAGCGACTCCTACATGCAGGTCCAGGTGAAGCTCTTCCCTTCGGGCGGGCCCTACTTCAACCGCACCGAGGTGATGCGCATCGGCTTCGACCTCAGCAACCAGACCTTCAAGCCGCCCAAGGAGTTCGGCCCCTACTACTTCATCGCCTCCCCGTACCCCTTCCCAGGTCACCAGCGAACAACGATAATACCTTTTACCTGTTGTTTGCTCAACCTTTGAGTACGTACGTATGTGGCTGAGTGAGATACCACCATGTGGGATGTGTGGCTTGCAGATCGGAACGGGCCGGCGTCCAAGAGCAAGGGCGCCATCATCGGGATCGCGGTTGGCTGCGGCGTCCTGCTCATCGCGCTCGTCGGAGCTGCCGTCTACGCGTTCATGCAGAGGCGGCGCGCGCAGAAGGCCACGGAAGAGCTTGGCGGGCCTTTCGGTACGCCTTCTCTTAAAATAAACTTGTCAGAGAACTGAAAGCATTTTCTTCACCGGCCGGCCGGACGAGTACGAGTGAAGTGAAAGTGGTGGTGCTGCAGCGTCGTGGGCTCGGAGCGAGGAGCGGGGCGGCGCGCCGCGGCTGAAAGGGGCGAGGTGGTTCTCGTGCGAGGAGCTGAAGCGGAGCACCAACAACTTCGCGGAGGCCAACGAGCTGGGGTACGGAGGGTACGGCAAGGTGTACAGGGGCATGCTGCCCAACGGGCAGTTCATCGCCATCAAGAGGGCGCAGCAAGGTTCCATGCAGGGCGGGCACGAGTTCAAGACCGAGATCGAGCTGCTCTCCCGGGTGCACCACAAGAACCTCGTCGGCCTCGTCGGCTTCTGCTTCGAGCAGGGCGAGCAGATGCTCGTCTACGAGTACATGTCCGCCGGCACGCTGCGCGACAGCCTCACCGGTAAGCCTTCCTCTCGTCTTGTCTCGTCTCGATAACCATATCAAGTCAAGTACAAGTCCGGCAACCTTCCGCCCGTGGCTGCAGGGAAGAGCGGCCTGCATCTCGACTGGAAGAAGCGGCTCCGGGTGGCGCTGGGCGCGGCCCGCGGCCTCGCCTACCTGCATGAGCTCGCCGACCCGCCCATCATCCACCGGGACGTCAAGTCCAGCAACATCCTCATGGACGAGCACCTCACCGCCAAGGTCGCCGACTTCGGCCTCTCCAAATTAGTGTCTGATAGCGACAAGGGGCACGTCAGCACCCAAGTCAAAGGAACGCTGGTAAGACTCAGTGATCGGCTCAGGCATTCATCCCTGCAGTTGCACATGTTCCTTCCAGAGTTCCAGTGAATGTGACTTGGTGTGTTTTTTGTTCTTCGCCTGCAGGGTTATCTGGACCCCGAGTACTACATGTCCCAGCAACTCACCGAGAAGAGCGACGTCTACAGCTTCGGTGTGGTCATGCTCGAGCTGATCATCGCCAGGCAGCCGATCGAAAAGGGGAAGTACATCGTCAGGGAGGCCAAGAGGGTTTTCGACGCTGCCGACGCCGAGTTCTGCGGCCTCAGGGGCATGATAGACTCCAGGATCATGAACACCAACCATCTCGCCGCGTTCAGCAAGTTCGTGCAGCTGGCCCTCCGGTGCGTGGAGGAGGGCGCCGCCGCCCGACCTTCGATGAGCGACGTCGTCAAGGAGATCGAGATGATGCTGCAGAGCGAGGGGCTCAGCAGCGCCTCGACATCCGCCTCCACGTCTGCGACGGACTTTGACGTCACTAAAAGCGCTCCTCGCCACCCTTACAACGACCCTCTCCCAAAGGAGAAGGACATGAGCACAGACTCATTCGACGACTACAGCGGAGGATATTCCTTCCAGTCAAAGGTCGAACCAAAGTAGCTGGTTTCTGGTAGGGTTTCTATGCTGGCCGAACCATTTTCTTCCTCCTCAGCAAGTAGCTTGCCTAATACTATGTCGAGATGTGAAGAATTTTTATTCTATGTGATTTACCATTAGCACTCTCTTATTAGAGTGATTTTGTATGGCGATTGGCGATGTTCTAATCAAAACGTTGTTACTTACGGCTAACACCGCCAGGGCCACCAAACAAACAGTTCTGTATGAGTACTTATACCCTACTAATAGGGGGGAAATCATATTTATGGTATTAGATTGGTCCTAACTTTTGCCAGACGAGTTCATTGCACGGAAGAATGCTTCTTGTTTCATCACACACAAAAATGTTTTGAGCGCACTACATTTGTTGCATGAAAACATCTCAGAAATAATGTTATGATACAGCAATTTCTATGTTGCACATGTACAAAAAACACTGTTGCGGCACAATTGCCATGTTTCATTGCTAGTCCAATTCTATGTCAGGAATTTGGATCAGATTACCAGTCCTAAGTTCTCCCCCGATAGTGCAATTAAACAGGCACACTGACTCGACAACTAACAAGACATCTATCTATGTTGTATTTCCTGAGGGATAATACTATCAGTTTGCTGCAAAAGCTAATGCCGCCGCCGCATAGCTTGCATTTTGCTATCTAGTTTTATCATACAACCGAACACAGGATAATTCTTAAACACAATTTACTGGTCGTATAAAATTTATTCGTATCTGCTCCACATGCAAAGATTTCATCCATTTCATAAAATGTGAATCAATTCCGTTACAGAAGGAACACACTCAAGGTTACAATGGTACAATGACTATTTTCTGTAAAATTAGCTGTCAAAATTTCCAATCATAGGTCCTTCTTGCTACCTACAGGTCTAGGGTGGAAGTCCAACATCCATTGCTTATAATTTGTGTACAGGGTCAAAATAATAAACTGTGAGAAGCAGATGAACATTATCAGTGCTTCAAAGAGGAAGGGATACCTCTTTGGAGGCTCTATTTGCAGGTACACAGTGTGAAGCAAGATCGAGCATAACAATGGCAGGCTCAGAACTGCCATTGTTCCAGACGAAATGTTCGTCCCCTTTCCATAGTTTCCACCAGGTGAGTAGTAAATAAGAACGAATAATCCAAGAACAGCTATATATTGTAGAAGAAGCTGATCACGGCAGATAAGCGGGTACATCGAAAAAAGTGCATAGTACGTGAACCATCCATGCAGGTGAGGTTCGTGTAATGCTAAAAGGCTTGCGGGTAAAAGAGGAAGCAAAATTGATTTCTCGTGCACTGCAATTATAAAACAAAGAAACACGAAGATCAAAGAAACATCACATATACTTGCAACAAAAAGAGTATCAACCCAGCAGTAGAACATACCTTGGTACGAGAATAGATAGAAAGAGAACGAGCTGTTCAACAGAGAATAGAGGAAGCCAAGATTACTTGGTGACTTGACTTGCTGAATAAATGAAGGCAAGAAAGCCAGGATGGTAGCAGAAAGACTCATAAGTTTCAGCGGCTTTATTGCGTACAATCGCTTCCACTTGATAAGAACTGAGGTGGTACACCAGAAATTTGCAACATAATCCTCATATAAACCCCTCTCAAACGGAGCCAATCGAGAGATTACCTGACAGTGGAGTTAACATGTTTAGTGAACTGAGCCAATTATATATAGAATAAGCTTCATTGGTGAATTGACCAGCTCAGTAAGGAGATCACTACATTTTAGTTGAACAAGATTTCTTCAGTATAGACTAGTTTGCTTGAACAACAAAATAACCAGATCACACATGCAGCAATTACCTGCATGGCAGCCTCATAAGAATGCAAATAAGGCCACCAAACAAGAGCAAAAGTTCCCAGTACAACAAAACCAAGTTTCATGATCTCAACAATTGGACACTTCCGCTTCAGGCATTTTCCAAGAAGATGCCCAAAAAAAGCTGGCGCAAAGTACATGCTCATCTGCAAGATATCAAACATGGCCCATGAATTTATAGAATCACAATATTTTGAAAAGCTCTATATGAACAGGGAGAGGCGCAGGTTAGTTTTATGGAAGTAGTGCCGGAAACTGTAGTAGATAAAAATCCATGCAAGACTTGTAACTGATTCAGCAGGTTTACTCTATTTCCCATCAAAGTAAGTGGGACAATTAATGGATTCACTCCCAATTTCCATCTCTAGCAGCCCATTATATTGCCAGCTTGAGCTAGTTGGAAATTCAGCTAGTAGCCCTCAAAAGTTGAGTACTCCTAAGAATTGTACCAACACTGCATGCACTTTTCGTGACAGCCTACTCTATTTGTATTACTTTGGGATTGTCTCTTACAGGTCTGTGGCTACTGGCATTCACTGTTGATGCTACTGCCACTCGTGATCACTGACTTTGTCATTCATGCTAGCAGTCGCTTGGGTTAAGTTAGTATCCACTATACACCCCAGGAACCCCCTTTGGGAATCTGTGGGGTTTGCAAAGGCAAAGATCTCTAAGATGTATGGCCTATATCATGTTTGTTGCCGAAGCTTGAGAGTAAGAAATAATTTTAAAGAGTAAAGGCAGTTTCATCTCCCTGGAAATAAAACAAATATATTTATCTTTGTTCCAGATAAGGAAGAACCTGCTTATGGTTAATTGCAAGACTGAAGAGAGCAGCAGCAACAAGTTCGTTCCTCGACAGAATACCAGCAATCGCCCCGAGTGTCAGCCCAAGACTGATGCAGTTATACTGAAACAAAAGGACAATCCGTCATTGTGTAACACACTGAGCAATGCAGTCAACACTATTTTGGCCTGCTCCAATGCACATACACCACTAGTATAATCCCCACCTGAAAATGGCCGTGGTCGATCAGTACTAAACACGGGTTGAGAAGAACCATGGCGAGCAGCCACATCCACCCCTCTCGCCTCTCCCCACTACCGCCAACCCCATCCTTGATGTACGCCCACACGAACCATAGCGCCGCGGGGAAGAACACCATGAGATCAGACGAGAGTACTGTCCACCGCATAAGCAACTTCCTGCAGGAAACAGACCACAGAGACTTGAAACAGACACGGAGTTCTGCGCACCACGATGTGCTAAATGTTAGTGCAGAGGGGCCCGTACGATTCGTGGGACTCAAACCCGCGAGAGGATCGGAGGGCGACGGCGTCGGGGAGGGAGGCGTTGATGAGGCGGGCGTGGAGCCGGCTCTGGTAGGCGGAGAGGGGCGGGTAGTCGAGGCCCCAGTAAGCGAGGTCGTTGTCGGAGGTGTTGCGGTACCAGTCGGAGGAGGGGAGGTGGAGGGTGAGCTCCATCCAGTGCCGCTGAGCCTCGTAGTCGCCGAATTTGGGTGCTGCGCCCTGACCCGAGTAGGGTCCGACGGAGACAAGCGCGCGGAGAAGGAGGGCAGCGAAGGAGATAAGGAGGGCAGTGGCGAGCGGCGGCGCTGAGGGTTGCCATGGGAGCCGGGCGGCGACCGATGGATCTGGGGCGGAGTTCCGGGACTTCTTCGGCTTCGCCATGGGCGGCTTTGCTTCCGGCAGATCTTGGTGTCGACTTGATTAGTTGCTGGTGGTTTACCGTACGCATATAATCTTATTTTTTTTCTACTCCGGCTCTGGTGGTTTACCGTAGTATTCTGAATGGACCTTTAATTCGTATATTGCGAACTCGTAAGTCTATACTGAATTCTGCCGGATATATTAGCACTTTTTCGATTAATTTAATTTTTAAGTAAATCATATTTTTTTCAAAAAAGATCAGATCTATTATAAAGATTCACCGGAAGTTCAAAACACCACAAACATAATAAAAATTACATCGAGATCCATGAATCATCGAACGACCATTGTCATCGCCAGAACGAGCCGTCGACGCGCCGTTGTCGCCACTCCCATACCGAAACCGGCTTGACCTTGTCGATGACAGTCAAGAAGTCTTCGTGCACGTGCCCCTAAAGACCAGCGCCCTGGAGCCGCAGTCGTCGTCTTTTAATCCTTGAGTCAATTTGAAGAACCTAACACCAAATATCGCCGTTACGTACGCACGTAGAGAAACCTTAACCTCGGCGCACCAAAGAGCTAGTAGGATTCTACGCCGGAGCTCCGTCTAATACGTCCCAACGGACGAACTTGAGGAAGATCGGACCACCATCCGTCCAAATGTCGCCTCTGCGAGGACTAAAACCCTACCTATCTACTAGCGGGAGTCAAGACACCAGGATTCTCCTCCCCACCACCAGCAGCCGGAGCGGCAGCCGGGGGAGGCGAATCCACGGGTTCACCGGAGAAGATGGAGGGAAGGAAGGCTTTTGCAAAGTCGCCTTGAGAGAGAGGAAAAATTGTCTTTACTATAATTTTAAGTAAATCATCAACATGTTATTATCAGTATAAAGCCCATACAAATATATAAACGTGTGAGCACATACCAAACATAGAACTGAAAAAAAAATATGAACACAATATGGGCGTGTTTGGATGCTTTCCACGCTAGTGTACACCTGGCCTAGATGATGCCTGTGTTTTGCCTCGCAGCTGTTTGCTTCGTGTCCATGTAGAAAAGATGTCTCTATGGCCCGACCGTTCCTGCCATATGATTAGCCTGGCTCAACTAGGAATAAAAATTACGAAGAAAATATTTAGCCCAGGCAACCTTGTTAGCCTGGTCGAGACGTCCCTTTCCATGCGCCTCGCGCGCTACGGCAAGAGCCTAGAGTTAATTAATGACCAGTAATTGTACTTCTATTCTTTAAAAATATTTTAAACAATAAACTCACATCAACCAGGCAAAGACAAGAACCAAACACGTGGGTAGCAGGCGAGCCTGGTGTCATGGGAGCAGATGTGACAATAGAGGTAGGGGTATGTAGGAGAGGGCAGAGCCTAGCTACGCCGAGATTGTACACTCGGATTTACGAGTTCAGATCCCTCTCGGAGGAGGTAATAGCCTTACGTCTCGGTGCCGCGGAGGCTTTACTTGATTGGGGTGTTGAGTTACAGGGG